TTTATTATCAATGTCATACATACGTACAGACTGGCACGGTTAATGACTCGTTTACGCATCGAATAATGCAACAAACACCCGTACACACACATGAACGAAAAATAGTTACACGCACTCACGTGCGTACATATGCGTATATACCTGCACACGCATATGTTGCGCTTATACATATATACATATATTATATTTTATACGAAAAGTCATACATATGCAATATATAATGTAATAACAGGATGTATATTTCCACGTATTTTTCTCGGTATACAAGTATATTGACGTATAACATGTAAGTATATATATTCGCAAAGCGAAATGGAGAGGAAATTCTCGTTTTGTTCTTTTTTGTCAAAATATATAATTCTCATAGCTCTCCTTTCCTTCCCCCTGCCCTCTCTCTCTCTCTCTCTCTCTCTTTTTACTACATGTATCATCATTCTCGTGTATATTATTCCATCATTTCTTTTTGCAAGAATTTACACAATAATGATCGTGCATGCAGACACGACGAATGATAATAATAGTAGTAAATTTGGCGATCGACAAAGATGAATTCTTAAGAAATAATGTTTATGGATATATTATTGAAATGAGAAATCAGCCGGCGTTCTTACGACTGGCCTTTCGATGATGACTCTCACAACCTTCTGTACACATTCACTAGAATCTTTTTTCATATTTTCAATATCACAATGATTCAATATATTGACTATTTTATAGATATAATTTTCTTTAACTTCTAGAAGCGTGTTGTGAATATATGTATTATCAGTTTTTCACCCTGAATGTGACTGTTTTTTTTTTTCCTTTGTTATTTCGTGACGCGAATACTCATGGTTGAATATGCGTGTATACTTCGCAATCATTTTTCTAACTTCAATCTCATAGCATTCGTTTTTATTAAGTGATCATGTCTAATTGTAAATTCCTTCCGTTTCTTTTCACTTTAAATAAAAAATTTCTAATAAACAATGACATTACATATGTGAAATAAACAGAATCGTTTATAAAGTGTGACAAATATGAACTGCGAGATATACAGAAATATTTTCGTCGATACATACTATTTTCTTACAAGAATTTTTTTGCTAATAACTTTATTCAATCGATTATCAATTAATATATTCTACTTAACGGACAGTTAAATTACAAGTTCGTCAAATAAATATGTTCAGATAACATTTTGGAGTATGTATATCGTAAAGTAAAACATTTCCATATAAAATAAATATTACATATAATTGCCAAAATAATTTTACATTTTATAGATGCTCGATTATCGATAAAAAAACAGCCTTAATTACAGTTTACATAATCCCTTGTGTTTTTTTCATTTATCATATGTATAAGTATATACATGTTCACGTGTATGCTCAAGTATACCTGAATCGCGTTTCTATTGTTATAAATATGTATCGAGCTTTCAAATGTCTACTTTTGTGACCTCGCTCATACGCGTGGCCACATCCGCCCACGTCTGGATAAAACTCAGCACGTTCTTTGTCTTTATACATTTTTCCATGGACGGCGATATAAAACGACGTACTCTTATTATACATCGTATGACACGTGAGTATTCGAGAAACTAAAACCTGAGTAGGTATCTAAAACTTTTTTCGATATACTGATTAAACGCCTTTACTTTAACAACCGTTTTCCGTTGCAAGAATAACGACTGAAATATTCTCACGGTCGTGAGAATGAAGATGAGTTTTTTGTGCATTCGTGATTCAAGAATCATAAAATATACAATGTTTTGCACAACAGGGCTGTAAAAGTTTCCGAGGATTACAAGTTCTTTTTTTACTTTACTTAAAATGATATTATACATATAAGAGATACATATACATTCGCAATAACATTCCCTGTTTTTAATCTCAAGAATACATATTACACATATTACAATATATTAAATATAAATAAATACATATTTATAAATATAAAATCGGCTCGATTTTTAAATAACGCATTATTATATTTCACTGACATTATACATTTAATGAAAAATCAAATAAAGATTTATAAACTTTTGAAAGCAAATAAGTTATTACAAATTTTATGTAAAATTTTTTTCTAGGATTCATAATTTCGATTAAATTAAAATATGTTATTTAAAATTGGGCTATCCTCTATATATTTTTACGTTCAGTTCAAACAGTTTTGCGTCCAAACAGTTTTAGACAAAGCGTTTATCAGTAAATAATAAACCACATATATTTATAATCAATCGTAAATACTGCAGTGATTTAAATAATTAAAAGATCATTTTTTGAATAATTTTTTGTACATTATTAAATAAAATTAAGAACGTACATATTTATTACCTAAATTTAAAAAAAATGTCAGATATTTGTATGTGTGAAATAATTATCAAAATAATTCTTTAATTAAACTGCAGTTTCAAACATTTTTATGCTTTCTAAATAAAATGATTACGATGGAAAACAGTGTTACGCGTAAAATCAATATTAATTATACCTAATATCATTCTTTTATGGCACTCTCGTAGATCGCGATACTTAAGCAATGACAGAGATTTATAAAGTGTGTAATACTCAAAAAAATATGTAGATAATATATCGATCAAATTATACGTTTGAATAATAATGAGATTTTGCATACTAACAGACTTCTTACGTGTTATGATCTTGTGCGTATTATTTAATCATAATAATGATAATACTGCGAATATCGCATATCCATCCATAAGAGAAAAGAGACCTATAGTGTTATATGTAGATAAAATGAGTCGAAAATTTATAATTTTATATCAGAACAGAGTTATATGAGTTCAATTGTATCGCAACACTAACGAAAATAATTTATATTAATGTAATTGCAAGGTATGTAAAAAAAAATGTGACACAAAGTCTCTTAATCTCTTCGCAATAAGAAATTAGATTAGATTAAGATTATATATGCGCGATCTGCGCGATAAGACGCGAGACAAGTGTAAAAGACCGTAACGTCGAAATTTTTCACAAGCATGAGAAATAATTTATATTGAGAGTCATTTCAACATATAACATCAATCTTTAGCTTATATAAACGCACACACACACGTAGACGTGCTTTCTTAAATATATAAACTAATACAGATTTTCTTTTACATTTAAACACTAATGTAGGCCATGGTATTATTCTTTTGGTATATAGAAAGATCTGATATACGCATTAGTGGAAATTTAAAAAGCGTAAAATAGATTTATTAAAAATAAATAATAAATTATTCAAACAGTCATAAATAGAATTCAACACCATCTACGCATCTAATCCATGTATGAGCAATTGAAAATGAGGTAATTAAAGATGATATTTAAACATTCTTGGTACATAAGCACAACAAGAATTTTTAAATTCATTAAGTGAACACCACAATTTATTATTTGGCATCCAAGCTATTCTATCAATGATAACAATTAATGATAACAAACAATTATAAATATATGTATATATACATATATATTTTTTTTCTAGTAATAAATAACATAACGAAAAAGTGATTAATATAATAATGCCATCTTCCAAATTAAATATCTCTATCAATTTTAACAAATAAAAATGCATCAGTCTTAATATTGCTAAATACAAATCAATTTCTTTTATATTACAAAAACGATATATACAAAAGATATCAAATATATAACAGATACAACAATATTCATATATATAAATAAAGCAAAAAAAAATAATTCTTATAGTTTAAAATTTTATTATAATTAAATGTTTCCTTCAGGCAATTTAATATAAAATTGATAGAGTTAACAGAAAATAATATTTGCTGAGATATAATAATTGAAATTATTTGTGCTACATTTGTGCCTTCACTTTTTCATTACAATTTTATTGTATAAACTGAAGACAGTCTTATCAACATAATATCATGAGTTTGTACATCAGACCTCCATGTATATACGAAAGTAAGTAGTTATTAGCAATGGCAAGATTGCCTTACATTAAATACTTTATCTCTTATATTTAGATTCACAATAATTTATTTATATTAAATATCAACAACTAATTAATCTTTATATCAATAAAAACAAAAATCTTTGTTAATATAAAAATGAAAACTCCAGGTGATATTTACAATATAACATCATGAAATAATTAACAATAAATAAATTAATAATATAATCTCGTTAATTAAAAACGTCTATAAAAGATAATTTATAGACGATTTAAACTGTTTTCTAACGTATTTAAAGATTTTCCTATCTATTGACCATTTTGGTATCAAATTCTCTATTATAGTATTTAATTTTTAATTTTGTAACACGTTAAAAATGAAATAATGTACAATACAATACTGCTTCATTTTTATTAATTACGCAAATAATTAATAATCAATTGTCATAATTAGATTCCTATCATAGAAAAACGGGAAGATTCAAGTCATGAAAAGATACACATTTAATGTGCTCAATTTTAGAAAAGGTTTGATAAAGTTTATCGTGAGGAGAATATCTCAACTATAAAAGAAAAGGAAAACAACATTGTAATGAAAAAAATCACTTAAAAGCTATAACAGCTATTTCAAAGATGAGCTCGATATCGACGAAACGATTGTAGTCATTTTATGACAAGGACTTCTCTTATACGCGAAGAAGTAAAAAATTTGTAATATTATGCATTGTGCAATAAAAAACGCTCAATTTCATATATATATATTATTTTCGATGGTAGAAAATTTGCTGTGTACACGCACACATGGATAGAGATGTGGTCTCAATTTATCATGCAGAGAATAGACAGTCAATGTCTCCAACGCTTATTATACTTTTTGCTACAAATATCATAATAAATTAACCCTAAATTAGATTTAAAGAATCTAATTTTATTTTCGCATTGGCATCGAAGCCTTTTTGTTTTTCATTGGCACGCCTTCTATGATATCTACTTTTCATAAATATTATATACACAGGGTAGGAAGAAAAAGATACTCCATAGCGCTCGTCAACGCTATGGTATAATAAAGAACAAAAAAAATGGAAAAATAGTCATAGATACCTATACTGGAGAACAAAAGAGTTACCCTTTCCGATGGATTTCCTAAACCCCAAGGACATACTCTCTTGGAAGCATGTATTGCACGATTGTGATGCAGCATCATGGTCCTTGGTTCTTGCATGTGTTTTAGCTTGTCTTCAGAACTTATAAAATGTTGCACTTTTTCGAAAGTCGTCGCTTTTTTCTATTTTTCTCCAATTCGGACGGAGGTTGCTCTCTGATGAGACGAACAACCTTAAACAAATATTGCAAATCTTTACACTGCTTAAATAATATAAACGGAAATTAATAATCATATATTTTATTATTTCTACCTCATGAAATGCCTCGTCTACATTTAGCGGTGGATCTTTAGCAGAAGTTTCAATATAAGGTATGCCCAAGCGAACAGCCAATTCTTTTCCCTGCTCCTCTGAGACTTTTCTCATATGTATCAAATCGATTTTATTCGCCACCAGTAACATAGGATAAGCATCTCTATCTTTTACTCGTAGAATTTGAGTATGAAAATTGACAATGTTTTGATACGATTGTTTGTCGGTCACAGAAAATACTAAAAGAAATCCATCACCTTTCCGCATGTATTGTTCACGCATAGCACTAAATTCTTCCTGACCAGCTGTATCTAACACTGCAACAATAAACATATACAAGTACTCATTAGAAAAGCTTTCTCAATATTCTATATTTCATTACTATATAAATTTCTTAATAAATCTTTGTTATTAGAGAGGTGTAAAATTTTAAGATATATGAAAATAATTCAACATTGGTGGAGAAAAAAATAAATTCTTACAAAATATAAAAGCACTTACCATCCAAGATACACCATTGTTTGTCCACCTCCGTATGCTGAATATAACTATCCTCGATAGTTGGATCATAGTCTGCAACGAACAGCTTCTGAAAGAACTGTATCGTAAGAGCGCTCTTGCCAACGCCTCCATCTCCAACAACGACCAGTTTAAAGGTCATAAGGTTGTCATTGTTTGGAGGACGTGTCATTCCGCCTTTGGATCGTCTACTCCTTTTTCGCCCGCTCCTGCGTTTGCCTATCCTGCCAAGCTCTTCTAACGTATCCGTTTGGCAGTGCAACCACTCGTAGAACGACGAGTTGCTTCGTTTTCGACTCGGAAAAGCCTGTAACGAGTGGCCGTAAAACTCGTTAGAGAATCCGCGCGGGAATGTCCAACGATAAAAATACACGGATTATTATCCGATATCGCAAGAAATGCGCTCGCGCGTCGTTATTCACGCGTAAAAGTCGGGAGCCGAGAAATTGCGGTAAAACACGGATGCGCCAAAGTCGTGAGCCTGGTATCTTCATCGAGAGACGCGCACAAGTTTTAAGATACGTACGCGAACGATAAAGAGATACGATTATGCCACGCAGCATTGAATGCTCGTAATGAAACTCACCTTACATGATCCGCCGCTCCCGCTTGCTCCTACTACTCGTGCTGGCAGCTGTCAGCTGTCAGTCCGCAAGTGTCGTGCGCAAATATAGCCACACGCGCGCGCGCGCGGGCGGGCGCGCTTGTATGCATGCACGCGCGTGTATACGCGCTGTATGTAGCCAGGCAAAATCCACATATACGTGCACACACTCTCGTATTCACGCGTCACAGCGCACCGCTCGGGTGGCTCGAGCGCGAGCGTCATCAACGCGAAGCGGCGCGCTGCAGTACTCTTTGAGTATGCGACAGTAGGTAATACCAGCTTTACCGACATTTGTCCAGTGACTTGGACATATTCTCAGCTTTATGTTTAAATCACTCAAAATATCATTGCTTAGATATATATTTCATCGTGCAACTACATCGTAATATTAAATATATTTCTGATACATTAAACATAAAAAAAATATTGAATTTGTTGTTTCAGTTACTTTTAGTAATTTCTCCAAGATTAAAATCTTTCAGTTGGCAATACGCGAGTCCAATTTTAGTATTTTGCATGATTGAATGTATACGAGCGTGTATCTGTTATGCCGGGTGAAATAAAACGTGTATAATTGAATATATTAATGTTCGAATTACTTTACAAATGCGTATGTCAATAATACTAATATAAAATATAATAAGTGATACACATGTAAGTGTGTATACCAAATGTGCGTTTGTACCGAAGTACATGATTTCAAATTAGGTTATGTCATTCTATTAGTGAAAATAATAAAATATAATTAATAGAATTTTTTTGTAAAAATCAAAACGAAGAAACAAATTTGAATCAGATATTGCGGAAATTATTCTTCCTTAACTACTGCAATAATTGTAAATTTAAACAAATATCAAAATGGATGCGGATCTGTACGATGAGTTTGGAAATTATATTGGTCCTGATCTGGCATCGGAGAGCGAAGATGAAAATGAGTATGGCAATGTTGGCGATGACACCGAGGACAGAGAACGATCCGATGAAGAAATGGAAGAAGACAAGGATGAGTCACGAGAACAAGTGGAACAAGGATCTTCTATGGCAGTTGTGTTGCACGAAGACAAACGATATTATCCCAGCGCGTTGGAGGTGTATGGACCTGAGGTATAACCGACGCTACTAATTAATTGTTACAATTCCATTAAATTAATAAATGTTTTGATATAACTCTCAATATATAGTTACAACGTAGATAGTTATATTTTATGATTCGCTAGATATATTTATATTTGTCATATAAATGTTTTTAGGTCGAAACGCTTGTGCAAGAAGAAGATGCTCAACCGTTAGATAAACCACTGATAGCACCTACTAGAAAAGCAAAGTTCCAAATAAAACAGCAACAGCTACCTGAAACTACATATAGCATTGAATTTTTAGCAGATATGATGGATGCGCCACATCTTATTAGAAATGTGGTTTTGCTGGGACATCTTCATCATGGCAAAACTACCTTGGTCGATTGTTTGGTGCAACAGACACATCCTTATTTACACAGTATAACCGATGAGAAACCGTTGAGGTATCGCTATCAGCAACATAATTTTTATTTATTAAACTGATCGTTTAGAAAAATGTAATTTTTATTTATATGTTGCCAGATATACGGATACATTATTTACCGAGCAACAAAGAGGCGTCTCCACAAAAGCTACTCCTGTTACTCTCTTGCTACAGGATGTTAAATCTAAATCATATCTTTTAAATATATTTGACACACCGGGCCATGTAAATTTCTCTGACGAAGCGACAGCTGCGATCCGACTGTCCGATGGCGCGATATTAATCGTTGACGCGGCGGAGGGTGTGATGCTGAACACCGAGCGTCTGCTGAAGCACGCGATTCAAGAAAAGCTCGCTTTAACGGTTTGCATAAACAAGATAGATCGTTTGGTATTGGAATTAAAACTACCACCCTTGGATGCCTACTACAAACTGCGGCATATTATTGAAGAGATCAACGGGCTAATAGCATTGTATTCGTCGGACACTGAGAATCCCGGCTTCGTTTCGCCCGCCGTGGGAAATGTTTGTTTCGCTAGTTCCGAGTACAATGTGTGCTTCACCTTGAAATCATTCGCCGCCCTCTATGCCAGAAACTATCCTGGACTCAATGCCAACGAATTTGCCAAGCGTCTCTGGGGCGATATTTATTTCAACCCTAAAACACGGAAGTTCACTAAGAAACCGCCTCATAATACCGCGCAGCGAAGTTTCATTGAATTCATTCTGGAACCTCTGTACAAGATATTCGCGCAAGTCGTTGGTGATGTAGACACAACGTTACCTGATGGTAAATCTCATTTGTTTCTTTTTTCTGTAACTTAAAATTATTACGACAGATATTATATACGTGTAATGTTTTGTGTGCAGTTCTGGACGAACTTGGTATACGATTAACATCCGAGGAGATGAAGATGAATATAAGACCGTTGCTTAGACTTGTCTGCACGCGATTCTTAGGAGATATGTGCGGATTAGTGGATATGTGTGTCGCTCATGTACCTAGCCCGCAAGCGCATGCTTCCGTTAAAGTACAGCACGTCTATACGGGTCCGATGGATTCACCTCTCGCACAGGATATGATCAATTGCGATCCCGATGTTAGTATTTTAATTTCAGCATCATAATCATTACTAATTAATTTAATTAATATAATTATATCAATAGTATCAATTGTAATGAGGATGTTTCATTAATGAGAACGATTGAAGAAAACTTAAACTTTTTCTATTAATTAGTTTTATGCTAAATCACCACATCAAGGCTTAGAAATTCTTTTTGATATTACAAACTTCATTTATTTTAATATTATGTATTATGTATTATAAATATATTTATGTTTTTTTTTTCTTGTAGGGAAGATTGATGATCCACAGTACAAAGATGTATCCAACCGAAGATTGCACCCTATTTGTAGTTCTTGGCAGAGTAATGTCCGGTACATTGGAAGCAGGACAACGCGTTCGCGTATTAGGTGAAGCATATTCACGTACAGACGAAGAGGATTCGCGCGTTCTCACGGTGGGCAGATTGTGGATTAGCGAGGCGCGTTACTCGATCGAATTGAGTCGCGTGCCCGCGGGCAATTGGGTCCTCATAGAGGGTATTGATCGGCCGATCGTAAAGACTAGCACCATCACGGATCTCAACAACTCGGAGGAACTGCACATCTTTCGGCCACTTAAGTTCAATACTCAGAGTGTTATCAAAATTGCTGTCGAACCGGTCAATCCATCCGAATTGCCGAAGATGTTGGACGGTTTGCGAAAGGTAAATAAGAGCTATCCGCTACTGGGCACGCGAGTGGAGGAAAGCGGCGAGCATGTCGTACTGGGAACCGGCGAGCTTTATCTCGATTGTGCGATGCACGATCTGCGTCGCATGTATTCCGAAATCGATATAAAAGTGGCCGATCCGGTGGTCGCTTTCGCAGAAACCGTCGTGGAGACCAGTTCCCTCAAATGCTTCGCCGAAACACCGAATAAACGAAATAAATTGACGATGATAGCGGAACCGCTTGAAAGAGGTCTCGCCGAAGACATAGAAGCCGAACACGTTCGTATTACATGGAACAAGTAAGTAATCACATAGAAAGTGAATATGCTCGAATATACTTTACATTATTATATTTAACATTATGCCCAAAAATTAGCAAAAAGACCCGTAACATTCTAAACTTTTTTTTTTTTATAATTTTGTGTCAATACTTTTATTAGCGAAAATATTCAAATACTAAAAAGTAATATATAATTAATATATACAACATTGGAATTTTTTTTTTTTTTTTTTTTTTTTTTCAGAAAGAAACTGGGAGAGTTTTTCCAAACAAAATACGATTGGGATTTATTAGCAGCACGAAGCATATGGGCATTCGGCCCTGACTCTACGGGACCTAACATTTTAGTGGACGACACTCTGCCTTCCGAAGTGGATAAAACATTATTGAACAGCGCCCGCGATGCTATCATTCAAGGCTTCCAATGGGGAACTCGCGAAGGTCCGTTGTGCGAAGAGCCGATTCGGAATGTCAAGTTCAAAATTCTTGATGCAGTCATTGCACAAGAACCATTGCACAGAGGAGGTAATTTCTAACATATAAAATATATCGCAGTATTATAATCCGCATATATATGTATATATATATATGCACGCACACACATATTTGATTTCACGCCTACAGGTGGCCAAATCATTCCCACTGCTCGACGTGTCGCATATTCTGCTTTCCTCATGGCGACCCCGCGACTGATGGAGCCGTATCTATTCGTCGAAGTACAAGCGCCCGCGGACTGCGTGTCTGCCGTTTACACCGTTTTGGCGAAACGACGAGGTCACGTGACGCAGGACGCCCCAGTCCCGGGCAGTCCGTTGTACACGATCAAGGCCTTCATACCAGCGATCGACAGCTTTGGCTTCGAGACAGATCTACGTACGCATACCCAAGGTCAAGCGTTTTGCCTATCCGTTTTTCACCATTGGCAAATCGTGCCCGGGGATCCTCTGGACAAGAGCATCACCATCAGACCATTAGAACCGCAGCCGGCCACCCACCTGGCTAGAGAATTTATGCTGAAAACGCGAAGACGCAAGGGACTGTCCGAGGATGTATCCATCAACAAGTTCTTCGACGATCCTATGTTGCTCGAGTTGGCTCGGCAGGATGTATTGCTGAATTATCCTCTCTAATTTAATAAAAATATACCACACACAAAGAATCGTTATAAGGGTAAAATACATTATCGAACATTAAAATTTTTTTACTAAGGAAAGATGTATGCCTGTCGCACTATTTCAAATGTTAATTCCGCATCTCCTTCCATCAAAAACATGATATCCTTTTAACGAGACAAAAAGTTATTACTGATATAATTTCATATGATGACTGCGTTGTCAGAGAATTCAAAGAATAACCTTAAGAAATTTTCATCACCTATCGAAGAGTAAAGGTCTAGGAAATCAGCCTTCCGTACGTATACTACTTTATTTATGTGACAAAATCATAGTGGAAATTACTATCACTGCATGAAATTTGTCTCATTTTTTTCAGTTGGAAGCTAGCCATCTAGTAGTATATATACAATAGAAGCTTGTAGAGGAATTCGCTCTTTTAGAGGTTATTGAGGTTAATGTTCGATTCTCGTCTTACAGGAGTTACATTGCAGGTGAATACAATTTTGCAGGTAAACGTTCTAACTCGTAATAAAATAGTTATATCGAATATTGCTTCATTGCGATATGCATTATCATTTCAATTATTTAAAAATTATAAAATATGAAACATAATAATATTATATACATATATGACATATGTATATTGAACCAGTAATCGCAGATCTGTCTTGCAAAACAGTTTAGTACTATTTTTAGTTACTCGCTACTTATATCTTTAAATTATTCATAAATAACTTCCGAAATCTCTATCTTTAAATTTAGTGATTAACTATTGTAATATTTTCAAAACTGGATATTTCAAATTATAATTTCTTATATATTATATTATCATTTGCTTTTTCGGGGTATCGTTAATATTTTATCACGAAATCCACAGACTTATTTAGGAGAATGTGGGGAACAGAGTCTAAAGTCTCAATTTAAACGAGAGAGAGAGAGAGAGAGAGAGAGAGAGAGAGAGAGAGAGATAAAAATGGCAAATGCGAGAGGCCGGAGGAACTGTTCTTAATTTGCTGCATTCGTTCAACTATTATCGTACACATATACATATATAGGTACGTGCTGTAACATCTTATTTACATTCTATTGCCACCGCGAGAGAGAGAAGAGTTAGACGCTTAAAAAATATATCCGTTACAATTCATTCTTTAAGAAATAAAAATTTATATATGTATAGTACATTCTTTTATTTTTTAAATATTTATTTTTTTAAATACAGAATTACTTAATATACTAACGTATTTTTTAGGCAGAAAAAATACAAAATTACTTTTATAAACAGGAAAATATTGAACATCAACAGAATCATTTAAACTTAAATATGTATATCATTTTTTTCTGTTAATTATACTTTAGATCGTCAACTTTTATATTTATAAATCATCACTTTGAACTCTAATATTATTTTTATTAATTTTTAAAGAATGAATTCATTGTAATACATATTTTTCAAATGTAAATATAACCTAGGCTGCGGTCAGTGCGATCCGATTTACGCTCACAGCGCTCGTGAGCATTATTTGTCTTTATTTAATATCAATTTCATTAATTCATCAATTCAATTAATAACAAGGATGAATAATGATTCAAGAGCGTTGTCAGTATGAAACGGATCGCAGCCCTAATCTAACCTCACTTCACGTATGTACAACACAGCGTAAATAGGATGCATAGATATATATGTATCTATATGTATATAAGATAATATAGTTAAAACGTCTCGTATCCCTTTAGCTTATGCTCCCTCAGCTCCCTAATTATTAAGTTAACGTAACGAAACCATTCATAAACATGCCTGATAATAATAGATGTGTATATATATGTATATAGTATTATACATAGATGCGTTTATATCGTTAACGCCGCGGATGTCTATTTCTCCGTTCTTTTCCTTGTTTCCTTTCTTCGATATTTCCCGATCATTATTTTTCGATCAGCTGTTGTTACTTTTCCTATTTCTAATCGCTTAAATTACATCTATAAATCAAGAGATAAGTACGATTTCTGTATATCTGTCTTGTGCATCTTTTTATTATCATAAATAACGAGCTAGAATTATACATCTATTAAATCAACCAATTGCATTAATTCTCGGTAAATATCAACACAAATGTTGCAAACCGTTGCGCTGACCCGAATAAATTAAATTGAAAAGGCCTATTCATAGTTTTAGAATTATCGCATCGATTGTATATTATACACATAGCTTTCTCAGCACGATGTGGAAGTCGCATATCAGATTTCGCGCTAAACAAAGATCATTATTGCAATTGTGCACTGTGTGGGAATAGGGATGACTGAGCGACGAATGAGCTGGCTTTATATACATGGTATTCATATCGATTCGCGATTCCAATTTCTACATACATATACACGAGTCTCAAACGCGCAATCTCGAATTTGTGATAGCGATCATCACGTAATTTGATTGGACTCGACGCCTTCGAAAAAACGTGTAAGTACAGGTCGCTCTTCTAATCCTCGAAGATGCGTGTGGCAAGTGTGGCAACAGAACAGACGAGATGAGATGAGACGCGAGCGGCGAGAAGCGAGGAAGCTGCGCGTCGCCGCGCCGCGCTGCTCCGTGCTGCTCGCGCACGTGCTAGGCGGAGTCGCAGCTGCGCGTCGCCAGACGGGCGGATTCCGTGGTCGGCCGTCGGAGTCAAGCGCCATTTTAACGTCCTTGGTTGCTCCCGTCTATACGCCCATAGGTCAGAATCGACCCGCCCAACCGATGCGACGCGCGCGCGTGCACGGAGACTCGTTCGGCCGGCAACCTCCGGCCACGAGGCCACGACGCTATCGCAACGATCGATCAGCGGTTATTCCGACGTCCCCCCTTTTATCCCCTCTTTTCTTCTCCGCGCTCTGTGCTCTGTTCCGTCTTTCATCTATACGCCGCCCGGCCGCACACGATCGCCGCGATCCGACGCAGCCCTCGCTGTTTCTGTTTCTACGCGTTCCTATACACGACCATTTGACTTCTATGCCGCGAAACTTTTTGTATAACAATTATAGATATGTACGCCGCATTCTCTTGATGAATTCTTAATTGTTTGAAAGAATACGGGAAGAGAAAGAGAAGAGGGATACGAGTAGTCAGAAAATACGCTGTGTTCTTTCTATAGCTATAGAGATTCTTTATATTTTTTTTAATTTTGGTATTTTACGTGCGTTTTCAAATCTATTATAAAAGATATAGTATATTATACATTATGTAATTCAGCTTAAAAAGACAAACATTTAAGGCACATTTATTACACTTTAATGAAGCGAAAATCATAATGTATAATTATATGTATATGGTCTAATCAACAAAAGTATATATAAGTGTATAATTTACAAGAGGCTTATATCATTTATTTTACAAGGATGATTAATTTACACAATCTTTATAGAAGGATATTTTCGTAATTGTATAAGCTCTCATTTAAAAGCGTTTTTGTTATAAATTTTAAAAAAGTGTCGTTTATGCATGTATAAGAAATTTCGTCATTTTTATATGCTTTTAGGATTCGCGACAATGAATCACTTATTCGAACATTTATTTCTCATCTTCATTATTTATTAGTACAATTAAAATAATGTTACATATGAAAAACATAAATTAATCTAAACAAATCGATCAACCAATTTTTCTTTTCAAACTAATATAGTATCACTTACGAGAAAACATATACGCGACAAATGATTTATTACATTTATATATTATAGTCGCAGGCCGGAGTACACACATGAATTAAAATACTTACGTTATTAATATCTTAACGCGTGAATTTAAGTATTTATACATATCAAAGTGTATATATTTTATGCATCTCATAGACAGATTAGTTATATTTTCGTCCAATATGTATAATCATGAGTGCACCGCGAATGATATGAAAAAAATTTAAGAAAAAAAATCACGTTATTTCTCGTTTCTGATGTCATAATTCAATGTGCAGATTGCAGCATAAGAAACGAGAGTTTTAAAATATATATCGTTAATATAATAAAATATGCTACTGCAAACTCTGCGACAGAGTTTCTGCTAATTATTGTATATGTTACTAATAATGTTCGTTATTATGTAATTGATCGCTTTACATTGTTACTTACATTGGATCTTTATTATCGGTATTTCGAGCATTTTTCTTCAAACATTTTAATAACGCGATTGCCTAGCTAGCCTGATGTATCATACGTTAAATCTTTGATATTCCATTTTCTGTTTTAATTAAACATATTAATAATTAACGTACAAAAACTAAATCAATACAATATTTGTGTCAATATTTCTTTGATATACTATAATATATCACGTATAGACAATAAACTGTAAATTATTTCTGACAACGTCACGATGGACGTATCGCAGCATTCACAGCTGAAAGAGCTGAAGAGATCCTTTCTCAAGGAGATGGATAGCTCGATCGTGAAGCCACGGAAAACATAACGCGCTTCTGTGCGTAGAACATAGGCATGCATAGAACGGCGATCTGCGGGGAATAAACGAAGATGGATAAGAGAGAGAGAAAGAGAGAGAGAGAGAGAGAGATAACATGATAAAGCTGCGCGAATGAGATAAGAGCAAAACGAAGCGAGAATCGCCGAAAGAAACAGCGTATCCGCCGACGGCGCCGACGCCCGTCGACGCTCGGCGTCGCTCGTGCGGTTCCGCCGCAACGAGGCGGGGTTTAGGCGGGGTCGATACGAGGCGCCTTCTCTACCCGTACGGTGTCGTCATTCTCTTAATCGCATGGATATCGAAACACCATGACGACTATTATCCACTATCAGCGCAATCGCCTCTACACACGTTTATACTCTCTTTCGCTCTCTCTCTCTCTCTCTTTTATTGATCTTTCTTCGTTCTCTCTCCCGATAGTCATCAATTGTGCCGTATTGTTCATATTACGAGCGACGAGTCGGAGTAGCCACGGCAACGTTACATCGCGGCGCGTCGGTCTCGCGCGAAAGTCGCGCGCGCGGAGAAAGGGGAAGTGGATAGAACAGACGGGGTGGGAAACCTGAGAGGGGAAATGGAGAGTAGCGCGCGCGCGCGCGCGCGCCCTTCGGTTCGGCTCGTGCCGGTCGATCAACAGTGGGTGACTGGTGGAGGAGGAGGAGGAGGACAGCGAACCGGAGTAGCGACAAGCGACAAGGAACGCGCGCGCGGCGCGGTCGGAGCGCGAGTCGCGACGGTGATCGGAACGAAGCGAAGCAGACGCGTCGCGTCTCGATCGGTGACAGTCGACGCGACGACGGGCGAGTCGGGCAACGGGACGTAACAACGCGACAACTACGACTAGTGCGCGACACGCATGCACACGACTGTTGCGTCATTAGCCATGACGGCTAGCGCGAGGACGTGATGTTACGTGGTCGTTATCGCCACGCGTCGCTTATCTGTCCGGAGTCGCGAAAGACTCGACGACTCGACGCGCTCGTGCTCGCGCACGTCATCTCGTACGAAAAGGAGAACCGAGGCTGGGAGCGACGATTACGAGCGACGAGCGCTATCGGA